TAGTTGTGTTTGTTCCTTCCAAAGTCCAAGACCATCTGCTTTGTCTTCTTCACATTAATGTGAAGGTTATTCTTCCTGCACCAGCTCTCCAGGTGTTCCACCTCCTGCCTGTACTGGACTCATCCTTGTTTGTGATGCATCCCACCACCGCTGTATTGTCTTTGTCACTGAATTCTATTCATTTCCTATAGCCTAATCCTGACCCTTTCCCTAAACCTAACCAGGATAATCACTGTGAAAAATCACATCATGTTGCTGCTGATCTGTTTCATGTTGCTGCTGATCTGTTTCATGTTGCTGCTGATCTGTTTCAATGTTGCTGTGTTCATTCATACTCATCTGCTCACACAGACTCATGTTCGTGCTGCTGTTCGGTGTAATGTTTTTATGCTACTAGTGCTTAGTGTATTTTTGTCTAACTCTTGGATTTTATTACTATTTTTCTTTTACATTTTATACTTTTGTTGGATGTAATTGGGACCCTGTGTACATAATCTCCTTCCACCACATGTACCACATGTGGTGCGAATGAAAAATAATGAAACTTCTTGACTTGACGATACAAAGTCCCCAAAACGTACATTTACAAGCACGTGCGCGTGTGTGTGTGTGTTTATTGCTTTCAGTCTTTGGACTCTGGATGAACGATGAAAAGAGGTGAACTCAAGAGAAGATGCTCAAAAGATTACTTGGACATCTGGCACTGTGGCACATCACGCACACTGTCAGGCTCAGGAAACGTCAGGTGGGAACAAAACCTGTTTACCACTAGAATATGTAGAAAAACAACAAAATAATCAATTCAACTACTTTAAAAATGGACAGAAGAGTTCTTTTCTGGCTGCTCATCTCGGCTTCTCTTCTTGCTTTTGGTAAGTTTCCAACAACTTAAAAATTTTGAAATTTTCAGTTTCATTGTGCCTATTACAGGATGTGTTTGATTTCGTTGAAACAACAGGAATGGAGAGAAAAAAAAAGATTTTTTAAAACTTGGTGATGAGTTTTGACATTAGTTGATGAGAGTTACGTGACATGCATGATTAAAAATTAAAATGAGGCTGATGTCCAGGCCTCAATTAGATGGGGTCTGTGGAAGAAAAAAAAACGTTAAATTTTATGTATTATCTTTTTTTCAAATCTCTTGTTATTAAAGAAGCTAACTATAATGCATCCTTCACATTCTTTCAAAAGATTTTATGTGCAAAAATATACTTTTGTTGCATAAAAGTTTTCTTCACTTTTTAAATAATTCTTTCAAAGGAAATGCTTTCTATTTTTCAGATTTGCTCATTTTTCCTCCTGAACATCCAAATTGTAAAGTGTATTATAGAAGGCAGCATGATAATTTAACATTTTCTGTGTATTTTTTTTATTTTGCTTCAAGCTGAAAGCCAGCAGCAGAGGTGATCTCTCAGCTAATTAATGGCATGTGCTAAGCATGTGATCCTCACAGTCTGTCCAGTTGTTAAAGTCAAACATTCACCCACAGGTTGGATGCTCAGCGTTGACATGTTTGTAAATGAGGATCTGTCATGGGACTTTTATGATTGATGAGCAGTCAGTTTGTGAAACCTCCCATCAACTGGAACACTTTAGTACTCATCAACCATGTAGAGTAATCAGAGTACTTTCATTTGACTTGACTTTTTTGTTTGTTTTTGACCTCTTTTAAAACTGAGCGATCAGGTTCCTTCATCAGATCAACACAGAAACAAAAGGAAGAGCATCTCTGCCGTTTCACATTTAGTTTCCTGTGTGTTGCCTTTATTTTCCCAGCTCACAGTCAGTGTCAGAAAGACTGGAGGGAAAATGAGAATAAATGCTACTACTTTTCAAATGACACAAAGTCGTGGGCGGAGGCAAATGCGTTTTGTTTGGAGCGGAACAGCAACCTGATGAGCATTCAGGACGTCCAGGAGAGGGTGAGGAGCACAAACACTCAAAAGATTCCTGCAGCAAAACCACGTTCTCCTATTATAAACACTGTTTTTATTGTTTTCTTTCTATAGTTATGGGTGCGAACCCAAATCGGTTCTGCGATCCACTGGATGGGCTTGAACGACCTAATAGTAGAAGGTGTCTGGGAGTGGAGTGATGGGAGTCCTTTTATAGAATACTTATCGTATGTAACGTATAAACACAAATGCACTACGTTTCTTTATAACAGTCTTTTTATTTAAGCAGCAAAATAAACACACTCAAGCAAATAATGATTTAACGTGGAATATAATTCAAAGCTCTGACTCAGAAAAAATGAAATGTTCTGTTTTCTGAAGTTAATTACAACAAAATTCACTCTCACCTGTGTGTCAGGTACTGGATGCCAAACCAACCTGATAACTATGGCGGTGCGGAGCATTGTGGTCAGGTGGTCGGGTCCAACTTTGCACAATGGAACGACGAAAACTGCGACGTG